GGATTTGACTGGATTGTGAAGTCAGCAGAAAAGTTGTTTCAGAGGCACAGCAAGTTATTACATTTTGATAAGGAGGATACTAGGAGTGTATATTAAAAATATTAATACTCTTATTAATAAATGATAATATTAATATATTATTCATACATAAAACTTTTATTTTTATTTTTTTCTATGACATGATCCTGAAGTGTGAACAAATTCATTTTTAAGTATAAATTGTGCGTGCATAATAATTGAAAAATGTTTCACATTGAGTACACCATGTCACACTGTAGGATGCTGTCCCTACAAAATAATATGAAATATTGCTCCATATCTGTGGCTTCACAGCTTTAGCAAGTTTTTTCACCCGTAGTCATGGCAACTGAGCAAAGGCCAGCAGTAAGAAATCTGAACGTGGGAATGCAGCAGCGCGCACACATACAGAATGAAGCAGAACAGCAGCCTCGGACACAATTCCCACCCAAACAAACAGGAACTGGGTGTTGTATCCTGAATCTTTTTGATTTTGTGCGCACATTAAGTGTGTCCCATAATGAACTACTTACTTGAGGGGAAAAAAACCCTATACACAGTTCAATTAAACACTTTTACAAACAAAACCCAAGTCAACGTAGTTTCTTGCAGATCAGCTCAGGTGAGTTCGGTTAATCTGGGACATCTGGGAATGAAAAGAACCAATTCAAATGAATTGATTTGCTCACAAACTAGAAAAGTATTTAATTCAGAAACTTCTATGGCTAAAATGTTGTATTAATTCACAATGCCACAAAATTATGTTCTATTATTGACCTGGCTGATGATATACAGTAGTCAACATTTGAAGTAGATCAAAAAAGTTCATCAAAGTTGTCCTAAGACAAGAACGCATTTTGGTTTTAGGACAACTTTGATGAAATGTTTTGACTATATTGGTCTAGTGTGAAACATTACCATATAGGTTGATTCGATGAAATCTCATTTGTTGGTGGACAACTTGTTAATAATGTGCTAGATGACCTTAACTCACTCTATAACAAACCTACACAACATCCCAAACCCACCATGCACAATACAGCACAACATGAACATGATATGTCATACTGTAAATTCATGCTGATTCATAATGTCACATAACGAATCAGTTGTACAGTTGGGTGTGATATCTTGTGTTGAACTTGAAAACAAAAGTTACAGTTCTCAGTATCTCTGCTCAAAACACACTAAAACTGGCTTTGAGACAAGTAAAGTCCCAAGTCCAGCTCTCAGATCAGGCTAATACAGTACAGAACATACTAGAAATCCAGCGCATGACAGCAGGAGCAGCCGCACACTTTCTCTTCTGCATCGAAGTTGCGGCGCGTCAGTGTTTGCAATCAAACGAGTTGCTGCCGACAACAAATCAACGACCTGTTGCATGCAAACGACTTGAAAACTATCCGGCTCCACTTCACACACATGGATCGCCCTGTTGCTTGCGCTCGCGCTAAATGTGGACTGCGTCTCGTGCGCTCGCGGGAACACTTCCACGTGCTTTTCGCTTACCGCAGCAGTCTGCGCTCCGCTACACCCGCCGGAGGGCTTTCGTACAGTGTGTTTTTAATCTTCCGCAGTCGCTGTCTCGGTTCCCAGAGGCTTTGAGTGAGTGAGCGGGGGCTCGAGCGAGATTACGTGGCAGCGCAGGATGAGGCCGAGGAGGAGGCGCGAGCTCGCTCTCCCTGTCTGCGGGGGCACGAGACGAGGAAAGGAGGTGAAATAAGAAAAAAAGAAAACATCTGTAGTGGCAGTGACTCCTTACCACCGACAGGGGGAGACACAGAGACGACAGACCACAGTGCTCTGTTCTGTTGTTTTTTACAATCTATGTCTGTTACACATAGGCTCAAATAGGTGCTGCAAACTGTTTTTTTTTAAATAGCAAACATAAAATACACCCATTACGTGACATATAGCAGATATGTGCCTTGAGAAATAACAGCTCTGTAACAGCACTAGCCTCTGTAAACAACAAATAAGAACCAGAGGAGCAGGGTTGCCAGGTTTTCACAACAAAACCCGCCCAATAGCGTTTCGAGGGGGTTCCCCTGTTAAAAATCGCGTTCAGGGGATAAAATACACGTGTTTTGGCAGGGTTCCCCTGGTAAGATTCGCATTCCAGCGATAAATATCACGTTATTGGGTCGTTTTTCAACCCGCGGCAACAGTGTTAAAGTATCCCAATTCCGCGGGAAAACCACGGACTTGGCAACACTGCAGAGTTGTCCATAGGGTTTTAGCCAATCAAAGTACAAGCGCTGGCTTTTTACGTGTTCTGGTTGGCTGACATATCCCTGATGGGCGGGGTTTGGGAGAAGACGGTAGCTGTTCAGTTCGTGGACCCAAAAGCTCAATTTTTGAGCAATGAATTCATGAATTCCCTTGACAATATATTTTAAAAACCCATAATGTAATTAATAATATTAATAATAATATAATTATTACTCTCTAAGAGAGTAGAGAGAGAGAGAGAGAATATAAAAAAATATATTACAATAATATAGGGCTGGGTTTTGACACAAATTTCACGATTCGATTCGGCACCAGACTAAATACTGGGTGTTTCAGGTCTGACGACATCAAGCGGGCGTGGTTTGAGCGCAAGGTCAAGGAGCATGCGCAGTTTACACGCTCCGTGTGAAGCCCGCGAAAGCGGCGATGATCTCGTTGGTACTCAACGGTTTGTTTCATTTTCTCTCATTTTAAATATGACTTTGTGTGCTTGGTGTCTCAGGTTTTGTGTGCTTGGTGTCTCAGGTATTGTGTGCTTGGTGTCTCAGGTTATGTGCTTGGTGTCTCAGGTTCTGTGCTTGGTGTCTCAGTTATTGTGTGCTTGGTGTGTCTCAGGTATTGTGTGCTTGGTGTGTCTAGATCCAATATCGATTACTTTGGATATCAGGTACAGTACATGCCAACTTTTTGAAAGGAAATTGTTCCTGTAGCTCAGTGGTAGAACATTGCGTTTGCAGCGCAGAAAGTCGTGGGTTCGATTCCCAGGAAACACACATACTGGTAAAAAAAAATGTATAGCCTGAATACACTGTAAGTCGCTTTGGATGAAAGCGCCTGCTAAATGAGTAAATTATTAATTAATTAATTATTAATGCCACTTCAGATGCAGCTTCCTCGGCAGTGGAAAGATAGAGTTTGTTAAAACTAATTTAATTTAAATGGTAGCAACTCTATAGTTTCTTATTATTCTAACTGAATTAATTGAAACAAAGTAAGAATTTGATGTGAAAGATGACATTTAGGTTA